AGAGAGAGAGAGAGAGAGAGAGAGAGAGAGAGAGAGAGAGAAGGGGGGGTGGATGGGTGCGTCAAGGGATTGATGCTGACTGAGAGTGGAGAACCCTCTTTCATAACTGTTAAATATGCATTCGAAGCTGCCGGCATTTCATTCATGAACTTCTGCCAGCTTACTACATGCAGCGTTCGTTTCCTCTTTCTTGACAATTTTTCGCTCTGTCGGCAGACACACTGAACTGATTTCAAAGACTTGTGCGTATGACAATTTATTTGTGAAGAAACCATGATACGATCGGTACTTTCCGTGGCTCTACTGATTGCTTTTGATTTGAGCGCAAGAAGCAATGTTGATGCTGATTCGTCAGATATAAGAAATATTACGTCATGGTTCCGTGTTCTGGAGAAAAATAATGCTGTGATTCCAGGATTCTCACGTAGAGTGAGTATAATAATATTATTATTACGTTCTTTCAAGGAGTTGTCCGTCCACTACAGGATGAGGCACTATCAAACATCTGCTATCGTTTTTATTATCATTATTAATCTATCGTTAATATTATTATCAATGTAAATTGGTCGCTTTTAATGACAAGCGTGCCAGCCCAGATTTCGGGGTTTTCCAGAATTCTTGACCTACACCAAAAGTGGGCATTGCCTAACCTATAGGAGAAGTTTGGTTTCATTGGTGAGTACATTTGTCTGGTTGTAGAAAAAACTCTCCTTGTCTTTTAAAGAAACTGAATAAGGGCTGAAAAACTTTATCTTCGATTTTCTCAAAACAACATTTTGCGGGATAGCGTCCTGGTTCTTAAAAGTGACCAGTTATCGTGTGGAGTCCGTGGCTTAAAGTAGCTAGGCTCTCGAACTTACAACCGTCAGGTCGTGAGTTCGAATCCGATCAGGGTTCCGACGTAGCGTTCTTGGAAGGGGCATTGTACGCGAATTTTCCTCCTTCTTTTGTTTGCATAGTTTCTCTCTAGTAAGACCTAACTTTGAACCTTATATTATGAACCACCGATACATGCGTTGCGAGCGCCGTAAAACTCTTAATAAAACCAAACGACCATTCATACAAATTGTAAGATCACCCAGCGGCAGCTATGTACCTAAAACAACAACAACAAACAAAGATACAAAAAAAGGTTTCCTGCCATCTATATTATATTGTATTATAAGGCTGCTGGCAGAATAAACATCAATGTTTATTGCTTTTTCAAGTATGTATCTATAGAACTCTAAATAGCTTGTAATTGAATTCCTGCATGTGATTGAAGGGTGATTCTGATGTGATTTGTACATTTATTTCTCAGCTTTACTCTTCCTTTCACATTGAATTTTAAAGAGAGTAAAATAGTAATATATTTTATTTTTTAATGAATGCCTGTGTGTGTGTGTTTTCACGGTCCTGTGCAGGCAGGAGAAAAATTTCCCTCTGGAACAATAAAATATTATCTTATCTTATCTTATCTTATTCATCTTATCTTATCTTAGCTTATCTTAAACTAAGGGTACAGACAGAGTGGACACGCCTTGCTGGATTTTTCGGCGCATCTTTTTGATGATCTGATTACGCGACGCTCCAAAGATGCCTGGTGCTAACGGAGTGGGAGCGTCTTTCGGTCATGTAAACTCGTTAGCAGATCTAGCTCAGTGGGCGAAAATGGTATTTTTTAAAGGTTGATGTTATCATGGTTGCACAAACGGTGACGAGCCCGATGTCGATATTGGGTGCATAGAATAAATCAAAGACAAAAGGTATATATTATGGAGATAACCATCCCCTAATAAATGAAATACTAGGAAGCCAACTTTTTTCCACTGAGCATTTATAGTAAATTTCAATTGCTGCAGTTTTCATCAGCCTTGACATTACAGCATTTTCTTTTTTCAACCGCATGAATCAATCATTCCGTGTCCATTTCGCACGACGTTGTAATTAAAATTATGACCAAACAAACTAAACACTGCATACGCCGGACCTAGATCTAGCAGCAATTTGTCGACTGACGCCTTCAATTTTAGTGCAGCTCGTAGTGCACTCACGGCATTTTTTTTTATGCGTCCTAGTCGCAAACGCTACGTTTACGCGACGACCCCGCTCTTGCCGGCCCCACAGTCCGTAATTTTACGCCTGAAAGAAAGGGGGGGGGGGTGTCTTTAGCTCCTGTAACAAAAGTGTCATCTGGAGTGAGACAAGGGTGTGTATTATCACCGCTACTGTTTATAATACAACATTACAAAAGAGCAAACCCCAAACCGATAGACCTGAATGAGATGCTGTTTGCGGACGATCAAAGCCTGGCGTATGGGAAAGAAGAGCAACTTCAAGAGCACACAGACAGGCTGAATACACAATGTAAAAAGCTCAATATGAAGTTCAGTAAAAGCAAAACAGAGACGATGAAAGTCAGCAGTACACCTGGCAACCTTAACATCACCATCGACGGAAATCCGCTGAAACAAGTCTGCGAATTCAAGTATCTTAGTAGCATCTTTTCGGAAGGCGGTCGTCTCAACAGAGAAATTGAGACGAAAGTACAAAAGGCTAACAGCGTCAGCTACCAGCTTGCCCCACTCCTCAAACATCCTAACATCCCCATGGAGACCAAATCCAAGCTCATTAACTCTATCTTCATCCCCACCTTGACCTACCAGTGCCAGACATGGACCCTGACCAAAAGTCTGGAACGTAAGATAACCACCTGCGAAATGAGATGTCTAAGGAGAGCCGTCAACAAAACCAGACGGGACATGGTCAGAAACAACAAGATCAGAGAAATGGTGGGAACAACACCTGCCCTCCACCACAACCGAAGGCAAACAATCAGGTGGTTTGGACATCTCACACGTATGGTAACTAGCCAGCTTGCCAGTAAAGCCTACTACAGGAACGTATCAGGGTACAAAGCAAGAGGAAGGCCAAGAAAGACCTGGATCGAGGGTGTGAACGATACCATGAGAACATTCAATATCCCATCCAGCCAGGCCATTAAACTTGCTGGAGACAGGAAACTATTTCTCCCCTTGACACCGTAGAGGTGTAAGAGGACGAATAAAGTAAAGTAAGTAAAGAACAAACGTGTAAGAAAGGGGGGGGGGGTTGTCTTTAACCAATGTAATATTACACTTTTTGGGGGCTAGATGTGTTGACTTTATCGGAAATCCACTATAATTTGTTTTATTGGTAATTAAAGCGCTTTTGACATTGACATGAGTCTCAATTTTTCCCTTATTAGTAAGAAAGAGTGTATGAAATATTTTGCGTGAATGATTTACTCTGTGATTCTTTAGTGAATGTAGAACTGCATATACATCTATTATTATGTCCATATATGTGTGTAAGCATGTTTTTCTTGAGTATTATGTAAAGCGCATAGAACAATGATTGCAACACGGATTTTTGCGATATAAATATCCCTTTTATTAGGCCTATTATTATACGAAGTGCCTATTTGAAACGCTGCGTTGCGATTAGCCCCATTAAAAAAAACGCTTCGTGTTGAATAGCCTCGATGCTAATCAAAACGCCGAAGCCCAGATCATGCGTGATTTCCAGTCAGATGGGAAACTTAACCTGCTGACTTCTGGGTAAATGCTCAAAGAGGTTATAATAGTACTAGAGGTCGCAGCTGTGACGTCACCTACGTAAACTCACTATGGCTGTATGGGCCCACTTGGCTCGCTTTGTCGCCATTTTTGAGAGGATTAGAAAAAGCGTTGTCTGGCTGCGCGTCCCTCGCAACGCCTAGGTCTTCATAGAGTTTGAAGCTCAGTTCAGTTCTATTTTAAGTTTTCCTTTTTGTTTGCTGTTGTTTAATCATATAACATACACAATACCGCGCATCTGTTGACCGATTGTGGGAAACTTATGAAATTAAATGTGGGCTTCAAATGAACAGAGAGATATAATATGAGGTATTGTTTGTTTTTCCAGTGTGGGATGGGGGAAGGGTGGAGGGAGATAAAGTGAGTAATTGCGTTTGTAAAGAAAAAGGACAATTTCATACTTACAAAATTGATTGCTTTTATGTCATGTTGTCTACACTCTCCTTCTACTGATGCAAAGCCTAGGTCTTCATAGAGTACGAAGAAGGTTAAAACTGGGTTAATTATTTAATATATTAATTCATGATTGTCTCAAAATGAGCAATTAATTGTAGGTGGGATACCGTAAATCACTCATTGTATGGATCCTGTGCGCCCGCCCAAAGAGCGTTGTTTAATATCGGACTCAAATAATTATATACTGACAACATTTTAAAATGCAACACCTAGATTAATATCCGGTTTATCTTAAACGTTCACAATATTTTCTTAAATTGGCCTTGATTGGCAATGGTGTTTGGATACACAACACCCCATCTTCCACGAGCCCCTGCTGCCGCTGTTGCACATGCTGTTTGGCATCGGTTCTGCAAATGAGACAGAACATTACGCCCGTCTTATTGGTGGGTAGTTACCCTTGGTTGGCTGCTTTATATTCTCTCATCTCAACAAGAACGATAGTGGTTATTTTCCGCTTAGCAAGCCTTGAGGGTGTGCTACAGTTACAGCTGAAGCTTCTTGCAGCTTCTCAGTCACATTCCTGATTCCAGAGGGCCTATACGAGCACCTTGCTGTGGTCAGGGGTGCTAAATCTGGACATACTGTTTGGGCGATGCGCAGCAAATGATTTTAATAAAATTAATTATGTTTTTTATTTCAACAAGTGATCATCAAGTCCATCTCATCATTTTTTCTGAAGCTGCTGCTGTTGTCATTATTATTACTATTACTATTATTATTATTATTATTACTATTATCTTCATCACCATTATCATTAGAACTATTTTTATCAACGTCATTCATATCATATTATCAACATCATCACCATTATCGTTGTAATTATTTCTACCATCATTACTAGTGGCATAATGTAGTAGTAGTAGTAGTAGTAGTAGTAGTAGTAGTAGTAGTAGTAGTAGTAGTTGTTGTTGTTGTTGTTGTTGTTGTTGTTTTTTGTTGTTGCTGTTGTTGTTGTTGTGGTTGCCAAAGAGTCATATAGTCTTGTTATTATCCCAATTTCAGTTTTCTCCGTCTGTGCTGCAACTACGCAATTTTCTATTTCAGGAAGGCGAGCAAATGTTCCTATTGAACTGTGTGGACTCCGACTATATCTGCATGAAGTAAGCACTGCTACACTGTTGTTTTTAAAAAAGTTTTTTTAAGGGTCTTTTGTTGTTGTTGTTGTTGTTGTTTTGTTTTTATTTCTTTTTTATGGGGGGAGGGGGTGTTTGTTTTTAATGTTTTGTTTCGTTTTCGTTTTGGGCTTTCTTTTTATCCCCCCCCCCCCCAAAAAAAAAAAAAAATTTAAAAAATTATCAGCTTTTTGTTGTTTTGGGGTTGGTTTGTTTTTGTTTGTTTGTCTGTTTGTTTGTTTGTTTGTTTGTTTTTGGCTTTGGGGTTTGGGGAGGGGGGGGTATTTTTTATATTATGGGCTTTTTTTCTTAGTTGTTGTTCCTATTTTTGCTATTGGTCTTTTATTGTTGTTGTTGTTGTTGTTGTTATTGTTGTTATTGTTATTGTTGTTGCTGTTGTTGTTGTTGTTGTTGTTGCTGTTGTTGTTGTTGTTGTTGAGAAGGCTAGGTGTTAGATCTTACCTAACTTAAGATTAGGGGTGTGGCTGAAAGATAGCAAGAGGAGGCAAAGAGTAGTAGTAAAAAGACTGAAGAAAGAGTAAGGAGCCCAGAGGTGCGGGGCAAAAAGGGGGGGGGGGGGTGGGAGCAAAAAGTGTAGACGAATCCAGACGATAGAACATGGCAAGAGAGCAGGAAAGGAAGAAAAAAAGAAAAACATTTTTAAACGAAAATTTTCCGTCACTGTCAAGTTTTAAACCCGAACCTATGGAATGAAAGGCGAAGACCATAACCTCGAGATCGCGAGAACCCCCACTACGTCGTGTTGCTTACTCACTACACACAGGCAGATACTGATTATAAGGAAACGGGGCCCTTGTGTGCCATAGTGAGGTTTGCCTTTCTTTCCTATCAAACGTCTGTTGTCCTTTTCTCTCCTTCTTGTTTGTTTGTGTTTGTTACTCACTTGTAACATCTGCTGTAATCTTTGGCACTTAAATCATGGTCTTCTTACAGTGTTGCAAGAGCCGTAAAACTCCTACGAAACCTTAAAGCATCTCCAGTGTTATGTCTTTAGTATTCGGCACTTACAAAAATAGTATAATAGTGCTTTTACTCTTTGATGATTTTAAAGTCTTATTCTTTTTTTTCTTCTTCGTTTGGCTTGGCTAACCTCTGTGGCATACAGCTTGGATCCATATAACAAGGGTGATTTGGCTTACTGTGACACTTTCTGCGTTATACTTGGCTACAAATCGGGCGAGTGCATGGGCACTGACCTTCCATGTCGTGATACATCCTTAAATGGGCCCAAACCGTGCGCTCGATGTATTTGCTCCACGCTGGGACCTCGTCCAGGCTACACCCATTCCGCCAAGCGGTGTCAGTTGAGGAAATAACTCTACTCGTGTCACAACACGCTGGAATCAGGCGCTCGTCACTTTTGGGGCATGTACAGTTTTATTGAAAGAGAACGAGAGGAAGACAGAGAAGAAGATGGGAAGACAACATTACACAGAATGGACAGGAAAGACGATGGGCGACAATCTGAGGAAAGCAGAGGACAAAGAGAAATGGCGACAGCTGGTTGTCAGATGCAGCGGTGCCCCCGCAGTTGCCCCAACCACGGGATAGAAGAAGGAGGAGGAGGAGGAGGAGG